CACACAGAGCATCGTGTCACAGTAAGAGATTTTCCTAGAACTTTAATGTTTTAATTACCAGTCGCAGCTGGTTACGCTGGCGTTGTGTTTGTGAGTCATTCATTCCTCACCTGTTTCCATCCAGATTCGTGTCCTCCTGCAGGAACGGGGTACTCAGGACAAGCGTCTCCAGGATCTGGAAGCTGAGCTGGAGAAGATGGAAGCAAAGCTCGGCGCTGCAGTCAGGGAGAAAACGTCTCTCTCCGCAAGCAACACTACGCTGGAAAAGCAGCTCACTGAATTAGCCAGGACTAACGAGCTACTCAAATCTAAGGTACTTGGGCCACATGATAATATTGACAATTGAATAAGTAATAAACATGTTTTTTCTCATACACTATTTTTGGGGGGAATTTTAGACTCTAGTTTAGTCTTTTTTCCCTCACTAAATGTACCTTAACTATTAAGCTACTTCCAGTAGGAATTATTATTGTATCTTTTTTATTATGTTGCCTAGCGCATGAGAATTTATAAACAAACATGTTACTTTTTGTTTTAATGTCCGACACTTTCTCCCCCTCTTTCAAAGTAACCTCCATAAATAAGGACATTAATCAAAGTTGCAGAATTTGCATCTAGAAGTCATTCTAAAGATCTTTCTTTGAAATAATGAGTAGGATGATAGCCGGCTTCCATCTCAAATCATTTTGGGAATGAAGTGCAAAATGAATCAATATGTTCAATCAATAAATTGTGTTTATCAATACTAATAGGTCTTAGCATGGTCATTTCACTTTTTACAGAAGTAGAAGGAGGCTGTAAATCACTGTTCAGTTTCAGAGTCATTGATGCACAGCCTATGTGCTGGGCTCTTTGCTTACAAAGGGAGTGAGGATGCATATGAATTAACCATGGGAAAGGGAACAGGAAGGGCCCCATCCAGGAAGAGCTGATTTAGTTGGCCTTGGATGGACTCTGTACCCCTCACATATTTCAAACTAGACCAGGCAATTTAAATGCATTTTGTTAAGCAAACACCCTTTATGAAATCCCCTCCAAGAAGTTTATTTTAGAGCCTTGCAATGAACTTTCCAGTATAAAGAGGTAGGTGACCACCCAAACTACTTTCAGAAATAAACCAGAAAGGCACATGAAGGAGGAGGGACAAGAACAATAAGTAGTGTAAATAGTAATCCTGGTTTGTCAAGGCTGTTTGCTCTGTTAGAATATACTGCAGGCAAATAACAGTCCCAGTAACTGGTACTAATCAATACTAATCAATACTTCAGTGATTTGTTATATAACTTAGCAGAAAATATTTCTGAATCTTTTACATGTTTGTTGTACTTAGTTTTCTGAAGATAGTAACCAGAAGAACCTGAGAATTCTAAGCCTTGAGCTGATGAAGCTTAGAAACAAAAGAGAAACTAAGATGAGGGTGAGTGATGCCTTTGCTGAGTGTGCTGTGTCTGGTTCTGTGGATCTGAACGATTCCTTATTTCCTGCAACATATTTCTGTTGTGTAGAGTATGATGGCCAAACAACAAGGCATGGAGGTGAAACTGCAGGCCACCCAGAAGAATCTGGAAGAGTCTCAAGGGAAAGTAGCACAGCTCGAGGGGAAACTGTGAGTGCCTAAAGGAAAGAGAAAGTATTCAGTCCAGATTCACTGCTCTCATCTGCTATTTTTTCCTGGGATGTTAACCTTCTCACAATACTTACCTCATGGCCCTCCTCTCGTTGCCTTATTTCTTTTCCTAAGTGATAGTTGAGACTTACTCATTCCCAAACAATTTAGGCTGAAAAGATATGCGATTATTATTACTTGTGTACATATTCTGTATCAGTGATGAGGAGAGGCCTCACAAGATAGCTTTCTAATAGCCTAATCTTGTGGAAGTGGTGAAGTGGACCCAAATTGAGAAGCACTGGTATAGGAGGCTGTGATTAATGCACAAGTCTAGCCTTGTCTTTACTACTGAGCTCTCACTGACATACAATAAAATACCCAGATCACAAGTAGTCAGTTTGATGACTTTTGACAGTTGTATGTACCTGAATAACCACCACCCAAATATGGTAGAGAATACTGCCATCCCTTCACAAAGTTCCTCCATGCCTGCTGTTCCTGCTCCTCCCTGGCTAATGCCCCCCACACCACAACCACTTTCTGACTTCCACTGTCATAAATTAGTTTGGCTTTTGGGGGCACATTTATTATTGCATGCATGTGTGTATAAACCTCCATCTGTTAACTATTCTCCTGGGTTTTTTGTTTGTTTGTTTGTTTTTTAATATATTTTATTGATTTTTTTACAGAGAGGAAGGGAGAGGGATAGAGAGTTAGAAACATCGATGAGAGAGAAACATCGATCAGCTGCCTCCTGCACACACCCTACTGGGGATGTGCCAGCAACCAAGACATGCCCTTGACCGGAATCAAACCTGGGACCCTTCAGTCTACAGGCCGACGCTCTATCCACTGAGCCAAACCGGTTAGGGCTACTATTCTCCTGTTGATCAACATTTGGGTTTCCAGTTTCTGACTATTATGAATGAGACTGTGACGTATGCCCTTTTGTGGACATATGTTTTTATTTCTCTTGAGTAAATGGGAGTGGAATTCCTGGGACATAGGGTACATGTATAACATTTTCAAAAACTCAAAGTAGATGAACCATTTTACACTCCCAGTTAGCAATGTATCATAGTTCCAGTGGTTCCACACCCTCACCAACATTAGACGTCAGTGCGATTTCACCCCTTCCAGTAGCTGTGAAGTAGTATCTCATTTGTGGTTTTAATTTATATGCTATTACTGTCAACTACATTTTTATTGACCATTTGTATATATTTTTTGTAAGGTCTCTATTTAAGTCTTTTGCCCATTGCTTACATTGAGGTGTTTAGAGGAGGTAAACACATAAGTAATTGCATATAAGGCAGCTTAGAACAAAGGCTTTATGGCATACAGATGCTATTTTGTATGTGTGGTGGGTGGGGAAGCCAGGAAAGCTACAAAAAAGATTATTTCTGACACTTGGAGTGCTGTAGATGATGACTCTCATTATCACAGCCCTTTTATCGATATATATTTGGAAAGCTTTCTCACCTAAAAAAAACTTAGGTCTCCTACTTGCATATATTAAATTGCCAACTTGAGATGTCACATAAATTAATAGTTCAGAGTTTAGACTCTGGCATCAGCCTGCCTGATACAGCAGTATCTGGTACAGAGTAAGCATCATGTGATCATTGTATGTATTAATATATACACCCTTTTTTTAGTGTTTCAATACAGAAAGAAAAGACTGATGAAAAATCTGAAACGGAAAAACTCTTGGAATACATTGAGGAAATAAGGTAATATCAATAGTAGTTTTAAATCAGTCCTCATTTTGTTGAAGTGTGATGAATACATCATTTTCATCTCTTTTCAGTTAATTTTTCCTATGCTTAAATAGATGTGCTCTTCAAAATAGTTTGTTTTAATGCAGTTGTGCCTCAGATCAAGTGGAAAAATACAAGTTAGACATTGCCCAGTTAGAAGAAAATTTGAAAGAGAAGAATTATGAAGTTTTAAGCCTTAAGCAGTCTCTTGAAGAAAATATTGTTACGTTGTCTGAACAAGTAAAAGACCTGAATGCTAAATGTCAGCTGCTTGAAAAAGAAAAAGGTATTCAAGTGTTTGTAGTATTACTGTCTTCAGCTAAGTACTATATACAGCATTTAAGAAAAGCACTGCTATGTTTAAAAACAACTTTTTAAAATAATTATGTAAACAACAAAAAATTCTGTTCTAGTTATGAGAATTTAGTCTTTTATAATGTATATTCTATTTAATATGTTGCTTACCTTGTAAATATATACAATTTTGCATTATTTGACTTCTCCATTCGGTAGCCATTTAAAATTGGTAGGTACATAGAAGTAGGTGTGGGGGGTTATTATATGATATATAGAGTAATGATATAAACTGTAGAGGGTTTTTTTCCCTTTGAAAATACTTGATCTCTGTTAACATGCTATGTATGTTAATGAAACGTATGTATAATGAAATATAATGGGAATCTGGGTCCAAAGTTAGTATTCATATCTGTGTACAGCATTGTTAACGTTTCTCTTTCCTAGAAGACCTCATCAGCAGGGACAGAGAACGGGATGAACATCTGAATTCTGAAATGCAAAACTTAAAAGAGAAGTTAATTCTTGAAAAACAAGAACATGAAAAGGAGTTACAACAAAAGGAGTTGCAAATTGATTCACTTCTGCAACAAGAGAAGGAGTTACAACAAAAGGAGTTGCAAATTGATTCACTTCTGCAACAAGAGAAGGTAGTTTTCTATAATGTAAAATAAAAGTAGTACTTATTTTATGTCATACATTTCCTTGTGGTCAGGACACCTTAAAATTGTATATATCCTGTGATCCACCAATTCTATTTTTAGAATTTTATCCTGAGGAAATAATCATGGTTATGCAGCAGATTTAACTGCAAAGGGTTAATGCCTGGCTGGTATAGCTCAGTGGTTGAATGTCAAACTGTGAACCAGGAGGTCATGGTTCAAGTCTGGTCAGGGCACATGCCAGGGTTTCAGACTTAATCCCCAGTAGGGGGCATGCAGGAGGCAGCTGACTGATGATTCTCTCACATCATTGATGTTTCTATTGCTCTCTCTCTCTCTCTCTCCCTTCTTCTCTGAAATAAAAAAAAACAACAAAAACATTTTTTTAATGTTTACCACAGGCGTATTGATAATGTGAAAAAAATTACAAGTAACAGAGAAAGCAAAATTAAGGAAATTGTTTAAAGATCTTTACCAGCCCACTCTTGTTAGAGTACTACATAGGCATTTACAGTTATGTTGAAAAAAAGCATATGATTATATGAGAAACAAAAGTGACAATTTTTTATAATCCAGATTATATAAAAAACATTTTGCATATCGATGAGAAAAAAGATAGTCCACTAAGAAAGAATGGGCATAGGATGGAAATACATAATTCTTAGAAATAGAAATTCAGATAGCCTGTAACAGTTACTAGATGTTCTACCTTAGTAGTAATCAAAGAAATGGAAATCCTTTTTTTCTTTTTCACTTATACGATTGGCACAAATTTAAACGTTTGATAGAAAAAAGACCCTTGGTGAGAGTTGGACAATATTATATAAATATTGTATTGTTGAGGAACCTACAAAGATTAAAGGAATTAAGTAGATCTGTATATACCAACTTAAAAATCTCAACCATTTTTGTGTTTTTTAAATGACTTTTATATACACAGTATATATCTTTAATATTTTAAGAAGTATTATATAAGTAATAAGTAAAGACCTTAAAGCATATATATCAAAGTAGTGGTTATCTCTGCAATGGGAAAAGTAAGATTGGGATGGGAAGCAGTCAAGGCAATTTTCTCTTTATTGATGATGTCAACAATTTTTACAATTGTGATTTACTTATATTTATCTTTTTATTGGTGTGTACTCATATAACTTTAAAATATTTTCATATAACATTGAAATCACAGTCCTCTTTATATAATGTCATATGACAAAAATATGTTATAAACGCCAGTTGTAGAATTATGATTTTAGTTTTACAAGAAGTAGGTTTGTGTATATGTGTTGCATAGGAAAAAGACTAAAGTAACATTTATCACAATGTTGACAAGTTATAGGATATACTCCCTGACAAAGTGAATATGATATCTTCATATTTTTTCAAATTCCTTGAGAATCTCGAATTTGATATTCTTACTTCATTAGCTGTACATTTTTCTGTCCTTAATAAAACCTCATAAATTATTAAATTATTTAAACCTTTTGAATTATTTTGGTGGTTTTCTGTTGAATGTAGGAATTATCATCTAGTCTTCAGCAGAAGCTTTGTTCTTTTCAAGAGGACATGATGAAAGAGAAGAATCTATTTGAGGAAGAATTAAAGCAAGCTCTGGATGAGCTAGATAAATTACAGCAGAAGGAGGAAAAATCTGAAAAGTTGGTCAAACAGCTGGAAGAAGAGACAAAAGCTAGAGCTGAAGAACTGAAACTTCTGGAAGAAAAGCTGAAGGGGTTTGTATTAATAGGACTTTACACATATGACTTCAGATTTTACAAAGTATTTTTCCAGTACATTCTCAGGATTCTCATATCAATCATGCAAGTGGGTGAGGTTAGAATTATTTTGCAAGTAAGGAGAAGTACATGCATAGGATGTACATATAGATAAGTATGACAGCCAACATAAAAGCCAAGCCCTTTCTTTATTTAAAGCCAGTGGTTTAAGAGTTTTAATTCAAAAATGACCAGCCCTAACCAGTTTGGCTCAGTGGATAGAGTGTGGGTCCGTGGACTGAAGGGTCCTGAGTTCCATTCTGGTCAAGAGTATGTACCTTGGTTGCTGGCTCAATTCCCAGTAGGGCGCGAGCAGGAGGCAGCTGATTAATGTTTCTCATTGATGTTTCTCTCTATCCCTCTCCCTTCCTCTCTGTAAAATCAATAAAATAAAATTTTTTTAAATGACCAAAATTTTGTGGATCCTGTAATTAGTCTCATATTTTCTAAAAATGAAGGGACATTAGTGTTACAATAATAATAGATTTAGAAAAATACTCCGCAAAATTAAGTTTCCCACCCTTTAATAAGACACACTTCCATTTTTGTATACGTGTACATCAGTTTACATAGTGTGAGTTATATCTTTAATTCCCTGTTTTGAAGGAGAACATACACTTCAAACATAACAATAAAAAAGCAAAATGGGGAAAAAAAACAACTAGAACTGGGAAACATTAAAACATAAGAAATGGCTCGCCGGCATGGCTCAGTGGTTGGGCGTCAACCTGTGAACCAGGAGGTCACAGTTAGATTCCCGGTCAGGGCACATGCCCGGGTTTCGGGCTCGATCCCCAGTACGGCGGGGGGGCAGGAGGCAGTCGATCAATGATTCTCTCTCATCATTGATGTTTCTATCTATCTCTCCCTCTTCCTTACTATCTCTGAAATAAATAACATATATATAAAAGTAATAAGAAATGTATTATTAGAAATAGACTGAGATCTCATGCTTTTTTTTTTAACTCCAGTTCCATATTGCTTTCATCATGTTATGTGTCCTCCACTACATTTACTTAAATTAAAATGTCCAAGTTGACTATTGAGTTCAAATTACAAATAAAATAATTATATTACTTGAATCCTTGGGATTTCATCACTATAAAATTTCCTAGGGTAGACTAGACATGAGCCTACATGTAATATGTCTAGAACTGTGTGTATCTCTTGTTGGATACTTTTGTTATTAATTTCTTTTCTGTTTTTTTGTTGTTGTTTTTTTAATGCTTAGTGATTTAAAAAAAGAAAAAGTTAGGGGGAAAATGGTGTTTTAAAAAATAAAGTAAAATAAATAAGTAAAATTTTAAAAAGCACACCAAGGTTTTATATATATACCTGCTTTTGCAGGAGCAGTACCGAATGTAATTAGGGGATTGTTCTATATTGCAGCCAGTCTCAGGGGACAGGTGCTTTAAGTACCTGAGTAGATGATTTCAGTTTCAGAAAGAAAGTGGACACAATCATTTATTCTGACTCAGAGAACTGTCCAGAGGTCAGGAGATAAATATTTTGCTACTAGCTGTGTGACTCTGAGGAAGATAATCTTAATCTCCATACTTTTCTACTTCATTATATATAAAATAGTTTTATGAGATGGTCTCTGTGGTCCATCTCTTCCAGCCTGGAAATTTTATGCTAAAAAGGAAAACTAAGATAGTTGAAAGTGATTCCTCTAGGGGGCAGGAAATATAATATTTTGTTATAAACCCATTAGTATGATTTGATTGCTTTTAGCTGCTGTGTGTATATTTTTTTAAGTCCCCTACTCATTACAGAATGAATTCGACCAGCCGTTATCTTGTCTCAGTGTCAAACTTAGTCTGTAAGTGAATAATGCTTCTTATTTATAGTTTTTAGTTCCAAATGTTCTTTAAAAGATCTCATAAGCTCATATGCATATCTAAAAATTATATCATCATTTTGTAATATATATTATTTAATAAGTTGTTGAATCTTTGAGTAACAATTTATAATGTGGGTTATTGATACAATCAAAATAAATCTACATAATCCTGTAACTTTTAAAACAAAGTATCTTTAACTGTACTAAGTATTTCTTAAAAGTCTACACGCAGAAAATTAAATTTTATTCAGTACAAATGCTTTTTAACTAGCAATTCACATTCTTAGCTGTTGCTATTAAGATTCTATTTGAGTCTTTTTATCCTACTTCCCCAAAAATGTTTAACTACATACATACATGTGATATAAGAAGATAAATGTGGAAATAAATAAATGAGGATTGCAACAAAAGTAAAAAAGAACAGGAAAGATAATATGAAGTCCTACATAGTAACCATGCTTTTAGATGTAGTCGCTCATAAATTTACATCTAAGCTATCCAGTAGCTAATGTAAACAGGAAGCTTTGGGATTCACCTTTGACACCAAGAGTGTCAAAGGTAAATACTAACCTCTTTCTTAGGGCAATGATTGTAGTTAGTAGTTTATCTTTTCATTGTTTCTTTTTTTTAGGAAAGAAGCTGAACTGGAGGGAAGTAATGTTGCTCACACTCAGGCCACCCTGCTTTTGCAGGAAAGGTGTAATACTGCAGAACAAAACCTTGGAAATGTTACTGCTCAATTCGAAAGGTATTTTTATTGGGAGCCTGTACTCTCAAACATAATAAGAGCAGAAAGAGGTACTTAGGAAAAGCTGAACAACAAAATCAGTTGCACAAATAAAATTATTGGAATCACTTTAAATTCCATAATGACCAACCATAAATGGGCATTTAGTGTTGCATGTTAGTCTTAGTATGTATAGTAATTTCCCTTTGATTTTAATGTGGCTAAGTTTGTAGATTCTTATGTGAACACTTTTGTATCTCATTTAAGAACTTCTTTCTGCCCCAAATAACATAAAGACAGTCACCTGTTTTTCTTCTAAAAGTTTCAGTTTCTCTTTTCACTTTTTCACCTAGAACTGATTTCTGTGTGTAGTGATATTGGGATCAAATTTATTTTTGTTTTTCCATGTGGATAATGAATTGCCTAGTGTCCATTCATTGAATAGTACCTTCTTTCCTAGTGATCTCCTTCATGTGATATATTATATATAATACACATATGCACACACATATCATGTACTAATATATGTAGGTATCTATTTTAATTATAATTTTTCGGTCACAGCAGAAATATAAGTTATAAATTTTATATTAGGCAAGTTTTAGTGTTGTTCTCAATCCTGTAAAGGAATTTCCCGTCTTGCTACTTTGAAAGATAGTGCCTTAGCCATTCTGTGAATCCACTCACCATCACTATGCTAATACCATTAAAATTTATTCCTTCAGATCACACGTCTCCATTCAGCTCTGTATCCGCCTACCCAGCTGCCTACTTGACATCTCCAAGTAGATATCTGACTATCTTCCAATAGCAACGTGTCTAAAACAACTCTTGATCTTCTCTCTATCTCTTTCTACCTCTAGTCTCTCATTCTTTTTTATATCAGTCAGTGACAGCTTCCTGCCTTCTCATTTCATAAATCTTAGTGTCATCTTTGATCATTTTCTCTCCCTTTTTCCTAACACCTAATCTATTTCTGGAATTTTAAAATTCTGCCTCCAGCCCTGGCTTGGCTCGGTGGATAGAGCGTCGGCCTGCGGACTGAAGGGTCCCGGGTTCGATTCCAGCCAAGGGCACGTGCCTGGGTTGCGGGCTCCATCTCCAGTGTGGGGTGTGTAGGAGGCAGCCAATCAATGGTTCTCTCTCATCATTGATGTTTTTCTCTCTCTCCTCCCTTCCTCTCTGAAATCAATAAAGAAATATATTTTTTAAAAAATAAAATAAAATAAAATAAAATTCTGCCTCCAAAAGAGATCTCACATCTTTCCATTGCCAGCTCCTTAATCAAAGCCTTTTTCACTCACCGGGACTGATAATTATCTTGTATTTAATCTTCCAATATGTCACCCGTGCACCTTCCCCAGTCTATTCTCCACATGTCTCCAGAGTAGTCCACACACTTAGAGACCTCAGGTAACCTCATGGTGCCCTGCAGTGACGAGTGGCCTCAGTCCTCACGAGCTTCTGCTCTTGCCTCTCTTATTTATTAGGCTCCAGGCTCATCTTTTTTCTTTTTGTTTCTTTGTTTGGCTTGAAAATATGGAATTTGTGTATCATCCTCGCACAGGGGCCATGCTAATCTCTGTATCATTCCAATTTTAGTAGCACTCCAGTCTCATCTTTCCATGCACTGTGGTCTACCTGCCTCTGAGCATCTTTTCCCTCTGAAATACTTTGCCCTAACTGCCTGGCAAAATCTTCCTTATCCATCATGTCTCAACTTAACTGAATTCCTCAGGCCTTTTCTGAATCACCAACCAAAATATAGTCTACTCTGTTTTATTAGCTTAAGGAGCTCTGTAGTTTTTCTTTATAACTCTTACCACAAATTTAATTACATACTTATTTTTTCAAATATTCTGTGAAAACCTGGAGAGGCATTTTCCTATGTTACCCACAAGACCATAAACTCTGACAGAAAGTGCAGGGATTGTAGAATTTTTGTTTTAGAGTAATTTTTATGTTTGGTAGTTGGTTTTGGTTTTTTTAAATCTCTGTATGCATACTTCCTGCACATAGTAGGATTTTTTTTTATTTGAATGAAAAGCCTATGCAGTATAAGCTCATTAGCACTGACCTCAGAACACTGGATTCTTACTTGTGTAAGTGCATAAATAGATACTGAAATTGTTTTTTGCCTTACCTAAAATTTTATAAACTATAAATTTATGAGCTACATATTTGTCATGTGTATGTTAACTTATTCTTCTTGTTAATAAGCTATAAAGCATTAACAGCTAGTGAGATAGAAGATCTTAAGCTGGAGAACTCATCACTTAAGGAAAAAGTGGCCAAGGCCGAGAAAAGTACAGAGGTTGTTCAGCATCAGATATTGGCAACTGAGAGCTCAAATCAAGAATATGCAAGGTATGTAGTAAAAATAAAACCGTACTCGTGGCCCTCAAACCATTAAGACAATGTTGTTGAAAGCCAGCTACCAAGTGATGCAGGGAGTTGTAGTTCGTTTCATGGCTTGCTTTGGTTGATTCAAATTGCAAATAAAGAATTTAGTTAAGCCCGGCCGGCGAAGCTCAATGGCTGAGCATCTATCGACCTATGAACCAGGAAGTCACTGTTGGACTCCCAGTCAGGGAACATGCCCGGGTTTCGGGCTTGATCCCTAGTTTGGGGCATGCAGGAGGCAGCCAATCCATGATTCTCTCTCATCATTGATGTTTCTATTTCTCTCCCTTTCCCTTCCTCTGAAATCAATAATAAAAAATATATATTTTAAAAAGAATCTAGGTAAAAATATAAAGTTCTCAAAGAAGTCCTTAAATTTTAAAAAAATAAATAAAGGAAAAGAACAAAAAGTAATTAAATGGCTGTAAAATGTTTAGTGGACTCTTCTCTCTCAAACCCAAGGATGCTTATAGATCTGCAGACCAGAGCAGCACTTAAAGAAGCAGAAATTAAAGAAATCACAGTTTCTTCTCTCCAAAAAATAAGTGATTTGGAGAACCAGCTCAAGCAACAAGGTGAAGACTTTAAGAAGCAGCTGGAAGAGGAAGAAGCAAGGTAATCACGCTTCAGAACCCAGGTGCCACACGCCTCAATTTATTTTTTCGAATACACTGTGTCTTTAATTTAATTTTCTGTTACAGAAAAGCTGGAAAAGAAAATACAGTGGCAGAATTAACTGAGGAAATGAATAAGTGGCGTCTCCTTTATGAAGAACTATATAATAAAACAAAGCCTTTTCAGGTGTGTCAAATAGGACTGAACTTAACTCATGTTTGTTTTAGTTATTCGCTTTATCACAACAGTGACTTGGTTTTTCTGAAAGACCATTTTTCTGTGCGTCTAGTGCCAATTTAACTTCCTATTAAAGAAGGCTTGTAAATTTTGTCAAATTATTATGCATACATATTTTAGTAAAGCCTTTATAGTCTAGAAAATACCTCCTAATAAGAGACTTAAAGTTAATAGCTTAGAAGTTTCTTTTGATCATTAATCTATGTAAATTTGTGATAATTATTTTGTTATGATCTTTCTCAGTGTATCTCAAGTTAATACACTGATCTTAAGATAGCCAAAGGATAAATGCTAATCTTGGCACTTCAGTAGATTAGGAGTTCTGGTTATAATATGATCCAGTTGATACAAATTAGGCTGGCCAGCCTAGTCTTCTTGTTTCTTTCCCTGTTTTTATGATCTTTGAAATGAAAAACACAAAATTTTTTTTAAAGTCTCATTTATGGAGAGCTCTGAGAATATGTTAACAAAATCTGTTTTTGTTCATTTTTAAATTTTCTTTTAACTTTGTCTTCTATATAGTTTATATAGACAAGTAAGATTTAACAGTTTTAAGTCTTAACTTTATATAAAAAAAACTATTTTTCAGCTACAACTGGATGCATTTGAAGCAGAGAAACAGGCTTTGTTGAATGAACATGGTGCAGCTCAGGACCAACTAAATAAACTAAGAGATTCTTATGCTAAATTATTGGGCCATCAGAATCTAAAGCAAAAAATCAAGCATGTTGTGAAATTGAAAGATGAAAATAGCCAACTCAAATCGGTTTGTAAAATAACACAGTCCTACTGAAGATATTGGGGTGGGGTATTTTTTATTCTATTTATAACATTTAAGTAAAATGAAGGACTTTGGTATCAGAAAAAAGTGATAGTCCATCTAACAATTAAGGATTTATTTTATTTTATTTTAGAGTATTGACCAGATGGGTATTAATGTTCTCAGATTTTCTAACTACTTCATTAGTATGTTGAAAATTACTAGAGCCCTAGCCGATTTGGCTCGGTGGTTAGAGTGTCAGCCCACAAACTGAAGGGTTGTAGGTTCGATTCTGGTGAAGGGCACATACCTCGGTTGCAGGCTCGGTTCCTGGCCCTGGCCGGGGCACGTGTGGGAGGCAACAAGTCAATGTGTCTCTCTGACATCGCTATTTCTCTCTGTCTTTCCCCTTCCCTTCCATTCTCTAAAAAATGATTGGAAAGGTTCAGAAAGGTTTACATATCCATTTCTATTTGTAAAGTAGAAAAATCCTTGATGTAAGTAAATACTATAAAGATAGGCAGTGTTCAAAACTAGTTAGGCATTTAAGTTTTTTAACAGCTTTATTGAAATACTAGAGGCCCGGTGCACGAATTCGTGCATGGGTGGGGTCCCTCGGCCTAGTGGGCAAGGTTGGCTGTCAGAGTACACTGACCACCAGGGGGCAGCTCCTGCATTGAGCATCTGCTCCCTTGGTGGTCAGTGCACATCATAGCTACTGGCCGGTCCTCCAGTTGTCCAGTCCTAACGGTCACTTAGGCTTTTATATATATAGATAATTCACACACCATTAATGTGTACAACGCAGTGGTTTTTAGTATATGTACAGATAGCTACAGCCATCAATCACCACAGTCAATTTTAGAACATTTTTATTACCTCAAAATGAAACCCCTTACCCTTTAGCTATTATCTCCCTATCTCCTCACCCACTCCTCCCTCCCATCACTAATCTACTTTCTGCCTTTTTCTAATGTTTAGTTTCACTAGGAAGCAGGTCAGTGGAGCCCCTCAGGTCCTCATGCTGGAAGTTGATCTCGGCATTTAATACTGAATTTTAGAGAGAGAGGAAGTGAGAGAAACATTGGTGTGGGAGTGAAAAATTGATCAGCTGTCTCCTGCACACCCCCTACCAGGGATGGAGCCTGCAACTCGGGCATGTGCCCTGACCAAGAATAGAACCAGCAACCTTTGGGTGCATAGGACGATGCCCAACCAATTGAGTCCCGCCGACCGGGCTAACTTCGTAGTCTGAAAGCCTCTATCCAGTAGTGATTTTTGCCATTTGGTTTGATATCTGAGGGACTTTGGAATTTGTCAGTAACATTGGTTACACATTTTACCAACGTGATCTTAAATAATTGTTTATTGTCTACCTTTTTTTTTTTTTACACAGGAGGTGTCAAAACTCCGCTCTCAGCTTGCTAAAATAAAGCAAAGTGAGAGAAACCTTCAGGAGGAGTTGAATAAAGTTCTGGGCATCAGACGCTTTGATCCTTCAAAGGCTTTTCTTCATGAAAGTAAAGAAAATTTTGTTCTGAAAACCCCATTAAAAGAAGGTAAGAAATGAATGCATAGAAGTGTCATCTTCCTTTGGATTTGCTTTTAGAACATTTAGCAAATTAATCATTTTTATGAACTGAAAGATTTTTTACAGTTTCTGTTATGAAAGAAATTCTGAAATTTTTGTGCGAGATGCCTTTTCTTTCCTCCTTCCATACTTTATATTTTCCATGTCTCCAGATCCCATCTGTCCTTCAAGCCCATTGAAACTCCATCTTCCTTGAAGCCTTGTCTGACTTTTTTGCTCCTACCTGCCCCCCAACCAGAACTGTTCCCTGTAACACACCCTTAGCATTTTAACCTAAATGTCTAATTTGTAACTTTGGAGAAGTAGGTGTTCTCTCTTGATTGTGAATCTTGGTATCATTGACAATAAATCAAAATGGGTTGAAACAGTGATTGAAGAAATATAAATAAAACTATGCTACAGAATGTGAACATTGCTTCGTCCACCTTACAAAAGATAGCAGATGCCCGTTTTCAGTTTATACTGACTGATGAACTGGTGTTGATTTAGGACACTAACACCTCTTTTTAATAATCCCTCCAGGCAATACAAACTGCTACTGAGCTCCTATGGAGTTTCAAGAATCATGCAAGTAAAGATCTGAAAAACCAAGTTGAAGATTATTTTAATCTTATTCTTGTTGTTGTTGTTGTTGTTGCTGTTATTGTGATGTTTGTAATGGATACTTTAAAAATGTATTTAATATTAACTTCCTATTTTTAGGTATCTGAAAGCAAGTTCAACGTTTTTACCCATATGTCTTCTGACATTTTATTTTCTCTTGTCAGTACCTCCTCCCTGATGTTCATTTTCGTCACTTCATTCTAAACCTTCTCATTCTTGTTGTTGTTGTTGTTGCTGTTATTGTGATGTTTGTAATGGATACTTTAAAAATGTATTTAATATTAACTTCCTATTTTTAGGTATCTGAAAGCAAGTTCAACGTTTTTACCCATATGTCTTCTGACATTTTATTTTCTCTTGTCAGTACCTCCTCCCTGATGTTCATTTTCGTCACTTCATTCTAAACCTTCTGCTTGGCTTTCCAGCTTTACAACTCATCCCAGCAATCAGCATTCCTTTAAAAATCACTTTTATGTTATTACTCTCCTATTCTTAAACTAAAGGTGGTTTCAAGATTCTAATACCCAGTTTTTTAGTTTGATCCTGGATGGCTTTTCTGATCTGAATCTCATTAAGCTAAGACAAAATGCCTTGGCTTGTTCTTGCCTCTACATTTATTCTCCTAAAAATGTTCAGTGTGTTTTACCCATCGTCCATTTATCCAGTTCAAGCAAGAAGTAAGGGCAAGCCTAATTCCATAGTCATCTCTTATCAGAGTCACTGAGCTGGTCAATAATTTTCAGATTTCTAGACTCTATCCCAGTCCTACTAAATTAAAATCTGAGTTTTGGGATGAAAATCTGCATTTGAAACAAACTCTGCAGTTAATTCTTAGATGCGTAAAAAACCTGAGAAACACTAAAAACCTGAAATAACTTTTATTTTGAGAGACTGTTTATTAAAGCTGGGAACAGTGACATAAGGAAGGGTTTAGGACAGAAGAAACAACAGGAGAGCCTCAGCAGAGCTGCTTTGGCTCATTGAGAAGTCAAAGGAGAGGGGCCCTTGGGGACAGGTGCAGGGGGTTAGCCCAGGACGAGTTGTTGCTGCCCACTGCTCCCCTGGATGCAAGTTTCATGGGGACCCTTAGAGTTTAGGAGATGCAGGCCTGTGTGAAGAAGAGGGGGAAGGGAAAGGCACCAGCATGCTCCTAGGAGGGGGAGAGCACTTAACTAAATAGAATTTTTCTTCTATTGCTTGGAACTTAACACATAGTTGAATTTTTAAATGTCATTTTAATTAAGTTCAGAGGAAATGTAGAAATTAGGAAATTTGTATAATAAAATCAAATAGTTCCAAGACTTCTGCTTTTACTAAGGATGGAGTAACAGGGATCTAATTTATTGTTTCTCACCCTACCCTGCACACACACACACACACCCCTAAAACTATCAAAAAACTAGACAAGATATACAAAATAATGAGTTTCAAGATGCTAGGCATGAGACAACAATCCCTGAGCGATGGGAAAAATCAAGGTGAGCCCTATCATTGTTTCCTGATTACAGCCTTGAGAGAATTTTCAAAGGATGATGTAGGAGAGGGGAACGCAGGCAGAGTTGGCAGGACAGCGTACGAGAAAGGAGAAAATTGCACAGAGAGAAAACTCGAGGTCAGCCAAGGGTCCCTTAAGTTTTCATCAGTTGTGCATGTGAGGAAACTATTTGAGGCCAGGGAAAGAAACACCCCCCAAAATCAGAAGTAACAGTGCTCAAAGCTGACACAAGGCTAGAAATACTGCCTGTGACCACCAGCCAAGCTGGACAAACCTAGGGATGTATAAGGCGTTGAGTAGGATATACAGAAGGATTTAGCCTCAGTATCGGGGAATATAGGTATACCTCATTTTATTGCACTTCACTTTATTGTACTTTGCAGATGATGTGTTTTTTACAAATTGATGGTTAGTGGCAACCCTATGTCAAGCAAGTCTATTGATACCAAAAAGATTATGACTTGCTGAAACCTCAGATGATTATGAGCATTTTTAAGCAATAAAGTGTTTTTTAATTAAGGTACATACATTGCTTTGTGTGTTTTTTAGACAATGCTATTACACCTTGGAACAAAGCTCAAGAATATTACAGGATTATTAAAATATGAAGCACTTACAAAGGTAAATTTCACGGTTTCTAACATCCAGTTCTGCAGAAAGGCAGAAAACACTACCCCTAATGAAGAAAATAATCCACCCAGGGCTAACACAGAGGTTATAATTACCAGAGGGCATCAAAACCATACATACCAAAACCTAGTAAAAACATGTAACGGAAATAAGACCCAAATCAAACTTGCAAAAACTACAATGTGTGAGATGGAAAAATAGTACTCTCAATGGCAATGACAGCAGATTAGGCATTGCAATAGGAACGATTAGTGAACTTGGCAACGGCAGTAGGAACTGTCCAAAATGAAACGCAGAAACAAGATTTTAAAATGAACAGAGCACCACGGTGCTCTGGGACCACTTCAGGCAGGCTGATATATGTGTAATTGGAATTCCCAGAGGAGGAAAGTAGGGGACAGAAAAATTATTTGAAGAATTACTGGTGGAAGCATTTTCCAATTAGAATGAAAACTGTAAGCCTTCAGAGCCAAGGAACACAATGAATCCTAAGAATAAGAAATATGATCATCACAATCAAATTGCTGAAAAGCAGTGATGAAGAAAACTAAGCCTAGAACAAAAATAGTTTTCAGCAACAAAGATGATAAAATTATTATAGACATAAAAAGACTAAAAAATTATCACCAGCAGATCCACGCTAGGAGAAATCTGAAAGGTCCTTCAGGCAGGAGAAAAGTGATGCCAAGTGGAAATAAGAATACACGAAGGAATGCCCTAGCTGGTTTGGCTCAGTGGGTAGAGCGTCCCGGTTTAGATTCTGGTCAAGGGCACAAGCCTGGGCTATGGGCTCAATCCCGAGTAAGGGGTGTGCGGGAGGCAGCTGATCAATGATTCTCTTTCATCATAATGTTTCTATCTCTCCCTCTCCCTTCCTCTCTAAAATCAATAAAGTGGTTTTGTTTTTTTTTATAAAAGAATACACCAAGGAATGAAGAGCACTAGAAATAGTAACTGCATGGGTAAATATATGACTTGTTTGGTCTTCTTACTACTTTATTCTTTTAAAAAGATAATTGTTTAAGCAAAAATAACATAGTTTGGAGTTTACACATATTTAAAATTAGAACATGACAGCAAACTCAAAGTTCAGGAGGGGAAAATAGAAGTATGTTATTGTAAAGTTCTTAATATGTAAAGTGGTATGTTATCTAGGAATAGATTGTGATGTTAATAATGTATATGGTAAACCCTAAGAAAATCACTAACATAAAAAACTTGTAGCCAGAAGTCAAAACAGAAGATAAAATAGAATCAGAAAAAAAAAAATTCAAAAGAAGGCAGAAAAAGAGGGAAAGGAAAACAACAAGAAAAAAGAACCCTCGTGCACTGCTGGTAGGAATGCAGACTGGTGCAGCCACTGTGGAGAAAACTGTATGGCATTTCCTCAAAAAGTTAAAAATGGAACTCCCATTTGACCCAGTAATCCCACTTGTAGGACTATATTCCAAGAAATCAGAAACACCAATCAGAAAGGATATATGCACCCCTATGTTCATAGCAGCACAATTCACCATAGCTAAGATTTGGAAACAGCCTAAGTGCCCATCAGCAGATGAGTGGATTAGAAAATTGTGGTACATCTACACAATGGAATACTACACTGCTGTAAAAAAAGAAGGAACTCCTACCATTTGCAACAGCATGGATGGACCTGGAGAGCATTATGCTAAGCAAAATAAGCCAGTTGGAGAAAGATAAATATGACATGACCTCACTCATTTTTGGAATATAATGAACAACATAAACTGATGAACAAAATAGAGCCAGTGGAGGGGAAATATTTTAGAATCTAATAGAAGTAATCCTGTTATTTGAAGATTTTTAATATTTCCCACAACTTTTGTGATATCATACTATGTTAGTACAGTTTTGACAATATTATTATACCTAAAATCCCTTTATTCTTGAAATATTAATGTTTATTGCATGTAATATTACATGTAAGATCATTTTTTCTTTAATAATTGGTGTTTATTGCATGTAACATTTAAATTCGTTTTTCTTGAGATATTAATGTTTATTGCATGTAACATTTTTATATTTAAAATCGTTTTTCTTGGAAAAAAATAAATTTTCACTTCTAAAAAAGAAAAAAAAGGAAAACAAAGAACAGCGCAGGCTGGTGTGGCTCTGTTGATTGTCATCCCATTCACCATAGGTCACCGGGTTCGATTCCCAGTCAGGGCACATGCCTAGTTGAGGCTTGATCCCCAGTAGGGGGCATGCAGGAGGCAGCTGATCTATGTCTCTCCCTCTCTCTTCCTCTCTCTTTAAAAAAAAAAAAATCAATAAAAACAAAAACAAATGACAAATGGGCAAAAAGAAATCAAATTGCAATATGGTAAAATTAAATTTAACTATTTCAATCGTCAACATTAAATAGTCCATAGACTCCAATTAAAATACAAAAATGGCCAAATTAAAAAGCAAAATTGACTATATGTTGCCTATAAAATGCACTTCAAGTATAAAGACAAAAATAGATGAAAAAAATAAAAGGATGTGAAAAGATACACCAACTGAGAGGTGACGTCAACAAGATGATCAGGAAGCCCTGGATCCTCTTTCTCCCCAAGGACACACTGATTCAACCACAATATAGAAACTGTGAGAACTCCAGAAACTAGCTGAGGGAGACACGAACACACAACGGAGAAAGGACAGCCTCTTCAACAAATAGTGTTGGGAAAACTGGGTGTCCAAATGCAAAAGAATGAAATGGGAACCTTATCTTAAACCATACATAAGAAAAACAACTCAAAAGGGTTACACTTAGCCTGGCCGCTGTGGCTCAGTGGTTGAGCCCTGACCGGGAATCAAACTGTGACCTCTTGGTTCATAGGTCGATGCTCAACCACTGAGCCACACCAGCTGGGCAATAGACCCTTTCTTTCAGGACTTTTGGAGTCAAGATTTTTTATTTATTGATTGATTATTAGACAGAGAGAAAGGGAAGTGGGGGGAGATTTGTTGTTATCGCACTTGTTTGTGCATTTGTTGGTTGATTCTTATATGTGCCCTAAGGCAGTGGTTCTCAACCTTCCTAATGCCGTGACCCTTTAATACAGTTCCTCATGTTGTGGTGACCCCCAATTTCATTGTTACAAATTGAACATAATTAAAGCATACTGATTAATCACAAAAACAATATGTAATTAT